ATGCCTTCTCACCTTCACTGATTAAGATGTTTTTTCCTCTTTTCCCCTAAAGAAATAATAACCAGGTCCTTATTTGCATTTCTTATGAAAAAAGATTTTGCTTAAACACCAGCTTGCTCTATGTGAAGTGTATGTATTTTTGAATTTGAGAGTTAATCATCATCCAATTATCATCTTAGGCAATACTTGAGAACTTTGTTTTTCTTGTTTTCTATGCACCTGATATATCAAGAAGAACAAGCTGCCATATATTTATCAAGATTGGGAAAATCAGTACTCCACTGGAAGTAAGGGATGGATACAAAACAAGTATATACTAAACAGATCCAGAAAATAGTCTTGAATATTTGAGCCTCTCTAAGCATTGACTTGTAGGACAGGAAGGGCTCTCTAAACTCCTGTCATCCCTCTGAGTCATCCCTGGTCAACCAGTCCTCTATTTTGTGCTTAAATATGCTAATGTTGGGAAACTCAGCCTTGGCCAAGGTAACTCATTCCACTTTTCAATGTTTCTGAGAGTACAGATATCCTTTTCTTGTTTTGTTTTGTGTTTTGCATCTTACATACATTGAACTGAGATCTTTCTCCTGAATTATACCTCCTGGTTTTGGTATCCTCACTTGGAGCTGAGTAAGAGGATAGAATAGCTCTTTTGTAGCCCTTCAGGTATTTAGAGAGCGCTATCCAGACATAGCAGAAGTGTTTCCATTCTATCACTCTCTTCTGAATATACATCCATGACCCAACTTACAAGCAAAAATTACAAGTCATAGAAGGTCAACAACAATCCAGGGAAGTGCTATATAAATGAGAAGGTAAGATGGATGGCAAATGTGACCCAGTTTTCAAGGACAAAATTGAGAAGTGCTTCTCCAGGAAGCCACTGTGATTTACCTCAGCCAATTGAGCACGGAGAACTCTGTATGAGACTTGGTTATTGTCCATTCAGATGCTCATCACTGTGAGATGAGTGGAATTGGCTCCTTCTTCTAGGGTCACTTCATAGAAAAAATTATCTTTGTAGAACTGAGCACATTGTCATATAAACCCAGTGTCATCTGGGGAAATTAATTACCTCTTTATTTCTGGGCTCAATCACAAATAAGGAGTTTGTGGTACAATAGAATACAAAGTTACTTTGTCTCTAATTGTCAATCATTCTGTGGTTCAGCTTAAGCTAAAAAAGTCCTGTCCACTGCCCAAGTTTTTTCTGAAAAACAAAATCGACGTATTTGAATAAAAGCACTGTTGATCAAAGCACAATAATAATTATCATTTATAAAACATCTACCATATGCTTTGATAGTATTTTCATGGTTATCACAACATCCTTGAGAGCTAAGTTTCATTATCATCATTTTACACATGACAAGCTGCGACTCAGAGCAGTAAGTAACTTTATCATCACCTAACTAGAGAATTCACAGCCGTGAGTCTAAAGGTAAAGTAAGAAGATTCTTTGGAGTAAACCATTTAATAGTGGCTTCTCAACATACAGAAGTGAGTGCACATATCATTGCTTCTTTATTATTTACTGTAGTCTTGATGAGTAAGATTGAAGAAAGAAGGTAGTAGAGCAGGAAAAAAGGGACAGGAAGGGCAAGGATGTTCTATGGAGCTGTTTGCCTCCAAGGACAACTGATTATTGTTTCTTGTATAACATCTTCCAAGAAGTCCTCTACACTATATCTTCTCATGTACTCTTCATTATATTAAATTCTTGTGCAGCAATATGAGATATGAGATTTCATTTTTTTTTCCTGTTTTTGATGTCAGAATCTGAACTCATAGCCTTGCATGTGTTAGGCCCGTACTGTACCACTGAGCTACTTCTCCAGCCCAAATTTCATTGTTAAGAAGCATGCACACATGCCTTCCTTTTGTTTGAAAGTATGGGTCCCATACACTGTTGAGTCTTCTTCAGGGTAGACTCCATGTCTGGAAGGACTCAGGTGAATGGGACTGGTGAAAAAGCTGCCATTCACACTGCTCTTACTTGTCCCAAGGCTACCTTTGATACTCATTATTTCTGGTTTCTGTCATCATTTGTAAATTCTCATCACTCTTGGCCAGCACTTCAACTGATCCAGCTGGGTTACCTAGTGGGGAGACCCATGCACTTTTTTCTCTGATACACCAATGCTCTTTATAGTTTTACTCTGGTAAAGTCATGGTTTTACAACTGTTTATTCTTAGTTATTGAGGATACAGAAACACAAAATGCTAAGTGAACTATGGGGATTAAAAGACAAATCTTCCCAGTAGCTGTTAAACAGAATCAACCACAGCTCATCATAGTAATCAGAGCTTCCTAATTCCATCAGCATAGCAACTCTTTTTTGTTCTTGTTCTACTGGCTTACAAAACCCACAACAACCACGAAGAAGTGAGAGCTGAAGGTCCACCCAAATCATTAATATCTCTAAGAGAAGCATTCTTTCTCCCAGAATCTGTGACCTATCTATGACCAAGAAAAGAAATTGTACTAGCACCTCATTGAAAGTAAAGCAAGAAAAGGCAGTTCTACCTCTAGCTCCTAGTGCCCCATGTGAAGTACCTGTAATGAACAGTGTCAGTCAAATATACAGCCTGCATTCTTGTGATCATTGCTACAACCCTGCAGAATAGTGTGCCTTCTTAGCTGAACCTGTTCAAGGTTGATGATTTTATTATAAGAGCAATGTATCTCTCCCCATGCAATCATTGTTATGTAGCTCCCTTGTCATAAAAAGGTCAGTTTTTCTGAAATAATGGTGTATTGGCTACCATGATGTTGAATGAATAGTTCGTAAATCCTTCAGTAGTTACGGAAGAAGCACTAAACTTAGGGAAGAAAAATCAGGTGTGAATTCCTACAGGAAAGGATTCCTCCCCTTCCTGAGTGGAAGGGACATAATGGAAGTGACTTGCAATCATGTAGCCACTTGGTCTTCTGGACTAAGGATGCCAGGTGGACCGTACAACATTACAATGGGCCAGATTTTCAGTGCAGTGTGTGCTCTAGTTTCAGAAAATGAGTTTCCTTAATGACTGCCCCATGGCCTCTCTGGTTCTTTCATAACCTTTGAGGTAGCAGTTGGTTACCTTAAATTTATCATGTTGTCTTTTCCAAATTTCCAATAAAGAATTCCCAAAAGATGCATCTTCTTGATAATTATCATTTATCCAGACCCTTAGCCAGTACTTCACCTTCCATCTGAATTTCAGTCTTATGGTTCACAATGGGAAGCCTCAGTGAGTATAACTGCTCTACTTTTTCTCTCAAAGGTATCCATATTTTCATTAGAATAATCAATTCCAAATTACACCTCCTTTCTGCAGCATGCCCCCATATCACCTGTCGTAATCTTCTTTGCCCCACGAATGAAGGCCCAATGCAAAGATGTATACGGCTTTATTCTGGAGAGGTATACCAGAGAGCAGGATTGAAAGAAAGTGAGCTAGGAAGCAGATCTCACAATGCAGTCACAAAATAGAGTCTGTGACATCAGCTAGATGCATGTCAGCACAGAAGAACCAAGGCAAGAGGCAGAAAGTTCATGGCACTCTTATGAAGCCACCCTGCCGGGCTGAACCTGGGTGAGGTTGGTCAAAGTCCATCCCTGTAGCCTCTGTTAAAATAAGACTCAAGTAAGATCAAGAGGGAAGGGGTGTAACTCAGACAGACTGGTCATGCTCAGCATGTGTGAGATCCTCAGTTAAATCCCCAGAACCCCATAAAGAAACTTTGAAATGCTCTATAAACAGTGCCTGATGCAGTGAATATAATTGAGAACAAATAAGTGAATTTATGATTTATTATGGTCTCTCTGCTATCTTGAAGTCATTTGTCTTAGTTTTACCATTTATTTTTTATTTCTCTCTCTCTAATCAAAGGATTGAATTTATTCCAAATTCCTGGTGAATCCGAAAGGCTGTAAAGTCAGTGGAAAGATAAACACCTGAAATGGTGGGTGGAAGTTCATCTCTAATCTGATCTGTATATGTAGGCATCTCCCTGGTTTATTGCCTGGTTAGAGGTACAAACACAGCAGAGAAGCACAACAAATGTCTTATTTTGATTGTGCAAGCTGATAGTAATGAAAAAGGCAAACCAATAGGAATTAGGACATATAAACCCAATTTGCATAATTCTCCCAAGGCTAATGAGACAAGGTATCGCATCACTTGCACCACAAAAATACGTCTGCTTTATTGTCATTTTTACTGTGCATGATTTTTGACACTGATAGCAAATTTTTTATGTGCTACTTATATGAATACTCTGTTCACAGTTCAAATTTAAATAGCTGCAGAAACAAAGCAAGGAACATGACCAGGAAGTTAAATCACTTACGAAGATTAGAAACAATGATATTATAAAACAAAGCATTTCAGAGGCCACATAATTGCATCAAACAGCGGCTCGGACAGGCTCCTTTCAACCTTTTCTTTTTTCTTTTTTTTCTTTTTTTTTTTGGTTTTTCTCCGGTACCGGGAACTGAACTCACGACCTTGCACTTGCCAGGCAGGCGCTTTGCCGCTGAGCTAAATCCCCAGCCCCCCTTTCAACCTTTTGAATGCCTTCTCCCTCTGGCACTCGGCGCCCTCCCCAGGACTGTGTATGCCCGCACATCGCTGAAAAGAAAGGCCCCAAACATGTCTTCCGCAGTCTCAGTGCAAATAAAATAATTTCACAATGCAGATATCCTTATATGAACAAAGTATAGGATAGGCACAGCCAGGATATTTTTACACTATGTATATATATTTATGAAAACAGACAAACATGACAGTGAAACCAAGTTTTAAAACAGGTTAATTGGACAGTTACAAGGGTTGATACACTGTGTATTGCTGTCTCCCTAGTAATTAGAGTACAAGACATCCGCATGGTATCTTGTCCAAACGATATTAGCACAAAACTTTCTTTTCAATGAACCAAGAAAAACTAGCTGTATAACTATCTTAATTATCTTTTCTACACACACATATTTTTTCCTTTTACCTTCCTTCCAGGTTTATATAACATAATTCTCTTTCTTGACCATGGTTGTATGACCATGGTTGTATGCTTCATTGTTGAGTTCTTGACTTTTTGGGGCATTCATTCACATTTCTCCTAAGTCTTTCTTCCACCTCAACCATTTTCCTGCATGTAGGTTGATATAAAAAATTTTAATCTCTAGTTAGAAAGAAAAGTATAGCAGAAGTTTAAAATAAAACACACCCAAGAATGGAAATAGAAGAATTCTGTTTTCCTTCAAAGATCCAAGCCTTGATTCCAAACTGTGCTTCAAGCCGAGATACTATAAGTATGCCTATAAATTACTTTTGTTGCTTAATATAAGTTTAATGAGACTTTAATACTTACAAGGCAGAAAACAAAGCCCTACGCATATACTCACGACTCATAGGTAAAGGTGGTCTCCCTATTTGAAACTATTTCTGAGGGTTGTCTCCCTCAGGAAAGTATTTGAAGGACACACCATGTTTGAAAGTTTTAGGAACATTTACAGTGAGCTTTTTTCCATGTTTAGCACACAGTACGAAGCAGATTTAAACACAGCCTTTTATGCACACCTTAGGTCAATTGAGCTTCAGGGAATTCCCTCCTGTTGAGTGGGGCACAGCACCTGGAACTTGTATGTGTCCAGTGGAGTGTGTTCAAGGTTGTGACAACTATAGATGTATCTAGTAGCTGTC